CACCAAGGAACAAAGCAAGGCTAATGAAGATGAAAGATTTGACAAGTGGGTCTTTTTCTTTTCTTTTTCTTTTTTTTTTTTTTTTTCTCTGTGGTGGCTTTTTTCCCCCTTAAACACTCGTCCCTGTTGATTGGGTACAAGGTGTTAATGGGCTGGTTATCAAATGAACTGGAAACTGTTTTTGTGTGTTGAATTAGCTCCTTTCATTCTTCCTCTGTCAAGATTTCCTTCTTAAATGGTGGTTTCAACCCAGTTGTTAAAATGCTCCTTTAACTAAAATATGGCAATCTGATTCTTTCTCTAAAGAGATTCTTTAAATGTCTTTTACCTCGTCAACAAAATTTGATTAAAATCAGCATGGGTATTTTTTCCTCCTCTCTCTTTTTCTTAATTAAGGGGATGTCCAAAAATACCCCTTTTGGACACTCTGTGTGCATCCTTCTGTCTAGGAGAGCTGCAATCATTACAAATGTGAATTTCCAAGCTTTTTGTCCATGGTATGGACTGCAATTTATAATTCAATTCCTGGACTGTAAAATGTGTCTTACTAACAAAATCCTGAATAATGTAGTAGTGGGAAGTTGTTCTATTCAGCAGTGAAGCCTCAGCATCTACCTATGCAAGGTGTAGTCTTATGTGTAGAAAATTTAAGGTAGGTATAGCATTTACTGTATTTAATGATCAGTGGAGATTATGGAGCCTGGGTCTTCTGGCATTTGGTCTGGCAGAAGTAGCACACAAATGTAGACAGAAGGAAGATGCATCTTCCTGCTACACAGGCTGCAGGAGGATGATTGCACAGCGAGGGCACTAGGTGATAATTAGATTTCTGTCTCTTCCGTAGCATTCCTAGTAGTTCTTGCCTGAAATTGTTAAAAGTATCTGTACCTCAGTATTCCACTTAAGAAAACTGTTTTTTTTGTTATAGATACTCTCTGCTGGTGGCTGGTGGTGCCCCCACAGTACAAGTATACCGGTGTATATGTATGCATTCATTCATCTACTATTTTTATGTGCCACCATGAGCAATGGTTGAACCTGAAAACAGTTTAAGAGACACTAGTTTCTTTACACTGTGAGGTCGCCTGCAGCACTGATCTTTAAGCTGTTGCAGATACCCTATGTAGTTCACAGGCTGTAAATTTTGTTTCTAACAAAAGTGTGCACATCCTGTGTAGACCTCAAAGAATGCATTACCATCTCTGTAGGTGCAAACCTTTTGAAAAATGCTGAAGTAATCAATTAGCCTTTTGATTAAAGGTGATTAAAGGGGGCCTTCTCAAGCCATTGATGGGCCCTGTCTGCTAACTTTAGTTTGCTGGGCACCTTCCCATCTCTCTTCCCTGGTAGATTCAGAGATTCTAGTGAATCGAAGTCCTAGATACTTTCAGATATAGTGTAGAAATCGCATTTGCAGTTACAATGGTCCTAACCCCAAGATACAGCCTTAGAATGAGGAAGACTCATGCAGCACCTGTGTCAGTGAGAGCTGTGTGTGCATGCATGTAAAATGAGAATGTCTTCTGTGGCGTTGTGAAGGAACCCCACATAGGTAGGCTGGATGGTGTGTACATTGCGTCTAGGTTGGCCTGTATAAGCAAATGAAGAGATTGAGTATCTGTAGTGTAATAAATCATTGCTCTCTGAGCTGTGAACACTGATTACTTTATCCTTTTCCCACTGCAAAATCCCTAAAAGAACTGACCTTTTATACGCCGGGGGTGAACGAAGAGCACACATACCAACGGTTCCCCTTGTCCCGCAGCTTGGGGGTAACCTTCAGGCACCAGCGACTCTGTTGCTTCCTGCCCTGTAGCCGTTTCACTGCTTTGCTGCCTGGGGATTCTCCTTCACTCTTCATTAGTTACTCCCTGCTAATGCAGTGTGCAGGGCCTGCTGCAGAGCACACTTCCCTTAGGGCCATGCACGGATTGCTCAGGATACTAGGAGTGGTCTCATGAGCTTGCCATGTGATGACATGAGTTTCAGGGTCTTGGTTATAATTTAGCTTTCAGCAGTGAGGCTGAGCTGCTGTTTTGCGATACTTTTTCTCTGCTGTAAAAAAAAGGTAAAAAAAAGAAAAAAAGAGACCATACCCAAATTGGTTGAAAAAACAAGCAATAGAGATTAAGGATGTTGGAGTTCTTCTGTGCAGGAAAAGAAGTTGTTAGAAATGTGCTTAAAAAAAAGCCCAAACATATAATGAGACTATTACAATGATGATTTATGCAGTCACACTTAACATGAGTGGTGCCGTTCGCAGTGTATCGTGTTCTTACTATATATTACCTGCATGCACCTTCCAGTGGTCTTTCTCACAAATACACAGAATTGTATTTCAGCTGTAGTTCTGTAACACCACAACTGCAACAAGTCCAATGGCCAAAAAGCCTGAATTCGGCTAAGCTTATTTAGGACTTGTTTTAAGACAGCACTCATATTTACATTCTAAACACTGGGCAAGAATTTTACTTGATTTCTTTAGCAATGAAGAAAAAGATTACCAATGGTGTTATTTTTAGGCATTCTTTTGTTTTGGAGGCTTTTTGAGGAACATTGAAGGGATCCTACAAAAATCAGAAAAAGCAGTAGATTTTGAAGTATTAAGACTGGGACAGAGTTCTTGGCTCATTCTATTGTATGTGCATATTGCAAAGGACTTGGGTGCAATACAGTATACAACACTGTGATTTATGCCCCTTTGCTTAGAGAATACAGTATCGGGTAATAGCTGACAGTCTGATTTTCAGCGCTGCTCAGCACTGGCAACCTCATTGGAAATGAAAATGGAAGTGGCCACTGCTCAGTGTGGCTGTAAATAGGGCCATTAATGCCAGCCCTAGAGCTGCATTCCTTTGTATTTGCTGTTTAAGCTTAGCACCTCAAACTTCCTGTAAATAGCATCTTTTCAGTTTTATTATTTGTGTTACAATAGCACAAGGGAAAACATCATTAAGGAAATGCTTCATTGTTTCTGTGAGTCTTCTGTGTCCCTCAGCCTCTGTCCACAGGTGAATTATTTTGGAAATTTGAGAACGCTCTCTCCAGTTGTTTTTACAGTAGGCAAGAAATGGAGGTGGTGGGGATATTTTCATAGTTCCTTGTGTTTGTTGATACTCTTTTTCCAAAACAAAACAAAACAAAAGACATGGTTAGGTTCATATCAAGCAGTGAAAGCATAGCAGAATTCAAGGTCCAATTCATACTGGCTATACAATGGTATGCACTTTGGCTGTTCAATAGGACTTCATAGTTTTATTTCAGTCCTTGTGTACAACTCTGTGCATAGTCTAGTGACAAACCTAAAAATGTCCCAGGCATTTTCTTGCTTGCTTGCAATCAGCTGACTCTGAAAACAGACTCAAATCCATCCTTTCTGCACCTTCTCTGCACGGAGTGTGTGTGGCTGCGGCTACCGGGCTGCGCGCGGTGGTTTTTCATGCTTTTGGTGGAGGAGCAAATGTACAGGACTCAGCCTGGCTGTCAGAACAGGTGACTACAGTTCTTTTAGTGTGTTGAGTGAACAAGTGGAATGCTGCAAGAAGTATCAGAAAGTTTATGAAGAAGGCAAAACCACATAAACTATATCTCTATATTTTTCTGTGTAGAGATATATGCTCTATGTTTAGCTGTCTGCAGTTCTGTGCTCATCTCCCATTCCTGTTAGTGTGAAACAGAAGTAAGTGGGAGTGGAGATAGGAGACAGTGTGAGAGTGTCATGGAGGAGCAAAATGTAAGATTTGGAAGAGGTGTCAATGCAGAGAGGAAAACAGATTTCTCAGTTAAGTTAGTGAGGGTGCTAGAATGGCCAATGCAGATACTGTATTTAATACTGGAGAATAGGCAATTGGTTGTGCCTCTGTTGGCTCTGCAAACCGTGACACAGAGCAAAGATATTTTCATAAGTTTTAGGAATATCTAAACATTCACTTCCTTTCTTCAAGCTCACAAAATGATTTTGTGATCATTTTGCAGTGATTTTGCAGTGAAAAGGAGCTGGCTTTTTAATAAAAACTCTTTGCAGTAGTTTTCTGTGTAATGTTAGATGTATGATGATGTGATGTTAAAAGGTTTCATGGGAATTATTTTGGCTTGTCCTGTGCAATTCGCTTCTGTCTTTTCCATGCTGGTAGTGCCAAATTCATGGCAAGCAGATGACTGTATATGCCAGTAAGATGTGCACATGCTGTTAATGCTTAAAAACAAAACTGCCTTATATAACAACTAATTTCAGTTTAGCATTTCAGTTTTGAAGGCATATCCTGTGTCAGGGAGTGTGGTAAATATTGAGGTAAATTGTTTCATTATGTAAGTTGAATCTTGGAAAGTTTAATGTGCGTGGGTGTTTGTTTATTTGAGTATATATCTGCCTACATAATCCGTCATCTTCTAGTCTACATATTTCCCTTGTCAAAAGAAAAATCATATTAAACACTGTTAAGTAGTAATACTTTACCCTTATTATTGTGTAGCATCTCTCATCCAAGCTTCTCATACCCCCTTGGTTATTAATTAAGCTTGCTAATCCTTGTATGGCATAGAAAATATTACTCCCATTAATAGCAGTTAAACAGACTCACTGAGCAGTCAAGCACGTTGCTGTAGCAGCGTTGTCAATGCTCTTGCAAAGAAGTGCCTATTCCGAGTTAACTGTCTCCCTGTAAAACCTTCGTGGCCATGGTAGTTTTTATTTCAGTTCATCTGCTGAAGGTCAGTTCTGCAGATGTTCGTGAGTGTGTAGGGGTGACCGTGATTTGCTATATTTAGGTTAATAACTACCTGGGCTTTCTCTCTACCCGTCTTGCTGGTGGAAAGATGCGCTCTTTTGAGTAGCCAGTAGTCAGTCAGTCAAACCGAATGAAGAATTGTCAGTTTTAAATACTTCACTGTTCTCTTGCAGGGTTAATATTTAATATGTAACTGAACAAACTCACCTTTCCTCAATTTTTACATGTCTAAAAAATATCAAGATAGTATATGATTTTTTTTTTCTTTTTCAGCTTAACCCACACTATCCGGAAGGTAATAATGAAGGAAAAGCTTTGGTAAGTGGAATTTGCACTTTGCACACAATCCAGAAAATAGAGTGTCATTAGCCTAATAAAACCCACCATATGAAAGCCCTTTATAGCGTTTTCTTTTTTCTTTATTTTTTAAGTTGTATGTGAAGGAACTCATGTGTTTCATGCCTCTTGTTAGATCATCAGTGAAATGGAGGCTCTTCGCTTGGATCTTTTCATCCTGCTGCCAGTGAGATTATCTTCTGTAACCCATGTAAACTAGAGTGCCTTCCCAAGCTTTTGTACTGGAAGTTTTCCCTTGCATATGATCAAACTCAGCAGCGATGTTGCATTTGTGTCCTGTACTGCTTATAGGATTATTCTCTCTCTTTTTTTTTTTAAGAGAGCTATAACTAGGGAAATGTTAGGAAGCTTATTCAAATTCTGCATCAAATTAGCATTAGTTGGAGTTGGTTTTGCTTGGTGATTGCAGATATGCAATGGATTAATTCTTCTCAAATTAGACATATTACCTCATGGCAAAACCCACTAGCCTCTTTAAGAAGAAATCCAGGGATAAGCAAGTCTGGCTGGTTAAGTACTGATACCTACAAACCTCTGAATAGTAACAGCATAATGTTGGCTAAAAAAATCTCTGACCAAAAAAAAAAAAATCAGAAAAATTAGTTTTCTAACTGAGTTAAGCCCTGCTTCAGTTTGGGTTTAATGCACCTTATGTTGAGGGAGCACTAGTGAGGTTTGAACTGGTGTGCCCCGCACAGCTGAAGCATAAGCCTGAGCCACTGTCTTCAGTCCATGATGCAGATACAGCAGAAGGTCTGATGTGTTTATCTTAGGAACCTCATCATGTGCAATGATGAGGTACTGCATACTGTGGAGCTTTGCTAGGGCACCTCTGTCAGGAAGACCTGCCAAAGATCACCATACCTACACGCCACAGAAAAAAGGCAGCTCGTGCCCTTGGCAAGACACAGAATCATAGAATCATTATGGTTGGAAAAGACCTTTAAGATCATCGAGTCCATCTGTAAACTCATCACCACCCTTCCTGCTAAGGTGCTCCGTGGTGCGTTAGCTGGGGCTGCTGCAGGGAGGTAGGCTGTGCTAGTAGGCATGAGCCCCTTGGGGTGCATGTGTCACTCAGGCTTGGCTCTAAATCGAAGCATCTGCCGAGGCTTTTTTATTAACTATGTTGAGTAAATGCAAGCACGTATTCAGGCACCTGCTTAGGCTGAGCCTTGCTATACTTCCATGGGAAGAAAGCTTGAACTCTAGACCAACAGCATAACAGGGACCCAAGTTGTCCTTCCTGCACCATGGATGGATTGGGCGTGGAGATGGATGCTCTGCATCCCAGTTGCCTGCAGCAATCGTAGGAAAAGTGCGTTTAGGCCTTTACCTTGCCTGTGGTTTAAAGGAAAACGCTAGAGCATGCTGGTAGTTCTAACCAACGAGGCAAGGCCAGGCATGTTGTAGCTTATAACATGTGAAAAAAAGTGGAGATAGAACCCTGGAGGAATCTTATTCATACTGAGACAACAAATGCTTCAAATTGAAAGAATCGTTCTCTATGAGATTCATGAGATTGCCTGAAAAATCCTGAGATCATTTTAGAAAAAATCAGGCTAGTTTCTTTCTGTTTGCCTTCTGGCACTCTTTCTTTTAAAGGACACATTTTCCAAGTTGTTCTCTGTTTGAGGAAGAATCATTTTATTTTATTGTTTAAATGAAAACCAAGATTCTCACATAATCGTATACCTCCAGGTCTGCAATTTTAATAGAAATAAAGAACATTGCGAGAGTGGGCAACACTGGTTTTGCTCTTCCCTAGTATTTGGTATTAATAGTAATATAGCAATAACAAAGTTGGCCAGAGAAATGGCAACTCTCTCTCATAAAAATATAGAAGTTCTAATGGTTGTTTCATATTTTGCATTGGAATGACATTTGAGGCCCTTGAAACTTTCCATTTGAATAGGACATCACTTTTAGAGCATCCCACTGCATATGAAGTGCCCGAGTTCATCATCTTGCTTCCCGAAGTGTAGAGCTCGTCTTGTATGGATTGCATCTACATAAACATTTTAGTTCACATCATGACAGCACGTCTGAATCAAATCTCCTGCTTATTCTCTGCTTATGCCACCCCAGTTTGCTTTGCAGAGCAATCTCAGAGCATGTAAACGTGGATTTTGTTGGATGAGAGTAAACTAAGACATGCTCCAGGCATGTACCCACTGTGCTCTGACCTGTCCTGTGTGCCCAGACCAGAAAACCAGGCCAGGGTTAGTATGAAGTAAAACTTGTGAAAACCTCTACCAGGTGAACGCTAGGTTCCCATCAGCAAGGATGCAGCCCTCTTGTATGGTGCTGTGCTAGTGCAGATCTAGCACGGAGGCTCCAGTTGGAGCACTTCCCCTTCTAAGTAGTTAATATTCCCTCTGCTGGGGATCGAAGAAGGCACAAGAATGATCCGAACAGGAATCTTATGTTACAGGTGACTAGTGTAACAGATTGGCTTAACTGTCCTGGGCACTGGTATTGACAAAAAATCCAGACAAGAGAAAGCCGTCTAGACAAAGGTTTCCATGGAAAATTTAAGCAAAACTGATAGGTCTGTGTGGAAATTTTGGCTTATGCAGTCAGCAGTATTATGTGAAAAAATATTTTGTGTGGAAGTTTTGGTAGCACTTCCTTATAAATCTGAGCCTATGGGCATTTTTAGCATGGCATAAATTACAAAGGGGTGAAGGATTCAAAGGAGTCTTGTTGGAAATAGTGTGAGTCAGCAATGGCTATTTTAAGGGTTTGCACTGGGCATGAGGAGATGAGCAGAAAGCTTTGAATCCCTGTTTATGTTTTTCTGTTCTGTTACAATGATGCAGTGTTTTGAAGTACCCATCAAAAGTCTAAGAATCTCATGATATATGGAGTTGTCCTTGAAGGGGCAGCTCTATCAGCCTTGAATCCAACACACGGGTTAGCAGGAGCACAGAGTTTCTCTGCGCCACAGTTTTCATGTGCTCTTTCTCCTACCTGGTGATTGCCTAAGTCACTCACTGGAAAGGCAACTTCTTCTGCAGCTTTGAACCAGTTGATTTCAAAGTACTGCCTGCAAAGTAAAGCTGCTTCGGAGGGGGACATAGAAGTGGGGTGGCTGTTTAAGATTAGGAAGGAACAGTGGAGAAAGATTTCCTATGGTGCAGGTGGGCATAGGCACTGAGCTTGTGGCCAAGGCCACCTGTTTTTTTTGCCTTTAGTGACTTGAAAATTTAAAATGGCTTTGGCTCTTGAGAACATGAATATTGCGGGAGGTCACTGGGCCGTTTGTTCCCAGGCATTAAAGCTGTGTTTAGACTGGGGTTTGTTGGCCATTTGAGGGCTGTGGCTTGAGATTTGAGGCAGATTGCAGTGTGGAGCATGGTTTTGACTGAAAAAATGGCCTTGAAATTAGTTGATTAATCTTCTATGTGCATCTTTTTCCCATTTCTAAAATCCAGAAGATTTTTCGATGTTAAGACCCTCCTCTGATTTAGGATCCTTATCCAATACGATCTTCTGCTCTTGCATTTCAGGAAAGTGTAATGCATAGTGCATCAAAACAGTGCTCTGTGTTACAGCTCCCATTAAGCCCCAAATTGATGTATTTTGTGCTGCAAAGTAGTCTGTTATTTCCAATCACTTGAATGCACAGCATCTAGAAGAACGCCGTAAACACTGGGAAATATCAAGAAGAGCTGGGAACCTGGCATTCGTTAGCTCTTCCATATTAAAAAACTGTCTCCTTTTCCTCTGCGTTTTCATGAGAGTGCTAATCCTAAATGTTTCTGAACTGGCCTTTATTGTTGAGATTTTTCCTAGGATTGAGAGTGTTTATTTACTTCTTTTATAAGTCAGTTGAATGTCTGCACCATGTCCTGTCAGGTGCAGGTTAGCATCCCTCCTTTGACTTTGATCTATCTAGACTTATATATGGCAAAAAACCCTCACCCAATTCAGTTTCCTTTCTTTCTTCCAACCCAAGTGATTTTTTTTCCTAGTAAACCATTAGTTTACCAAACCAAAGTATAAATCCATTACAAAAAAAATCCCTTCCAGCAACCTTAATGGGCCTTAAGATTATTTAAAAAAAATCTCCTAATTAGAATTTCATAATGTATAACACAAGCGATGCAGTTTAAACAAGTGGAACGGGTTTGGAGATATTTTCTTGAAGGCTTGGTTAGGAATTAATAAAGAATCTGAAAAACATGCCAAAAAAAACAAAAAAGAGGAAAAACCTCCAGCTTTAAAATGGCACCGTCTCTGCTTATGTAAAGGCAGCACTCAGACCACTTGAGATGCTCCGCGCTAGCAGGGGGAGAAGAGGAGCCACGGATGCTGGCACATTATTATTATTCTGCTGCTGCACACAGGTCTGAATCAGCTCTGCAAACACATACATTGTTTCTTACAGAATGTCTCTGGCTCCTAACAACAGAATTGCAACGTGATGTCTCTGCTAAAAACGCGATGACTCACAAATGAGTCAACAGCGAAGGTGTTGGAGGAGGCTAACTGCTGTGCCGGCTGCCAGGGCTTCCTAGCAGGCGGGAGCAAGGCTGCCCGCTAATTTGCTCGACTTTCTTTTCATATAGAATTTTTTAAAATCGTGTAACCTATGGAGCTCTGTTCACGTTACTGCCCTGTGAAAAAGCTGCTTTTATAAAAGCCTCCTAAACTGGGTTAGCACGTTGAGACACCACAATGTAGTGCATATAACGGGCACTTGCAGAACCCTGGCTGCTATTAAATTTAATTTCTGCCAAAGACTGTAGGGCAGCTTAATGTATTCGTGCAGGAATAGGGCATTAACCTTGTCTGTCTCTATGCCACGAGAGGGGTCTGTACCAATTGGAATTGTAGATTGGGTTTGCATTCCAGCAGGAAAGGTATGCCGGGTCTGTGGTGCTTTTATATTGTTTTTTGCAGTTAAAACAAAGGTCTCTCCATAAGCAAAACTCCATAAATCTCCTGAATTCTTGGTGATACCCAGCTGAGATCAGTAACAAGGATTTGAGATTGCTCAGAGTTACTATTACATTATACTAAGAGTTGGGAAGCGAGGTTATCTGCTGGGCTACAAGTCCTAGGAAAGACAAAACTGATTGTGCCTGATTTGTGTTGTCTCTAAATTACAATATAGGATTTGTCTACTCTTGTATTAAGCTTGTCCTTCATATTGCAAGCAGCATATTATGTCTGGGTTAGGTTTTTTATTAAAAAAAAATCTTTCTTGTTAAAGTGATTTTTTTATTAAAGTCGTTGTGACCACGAGTCCATGGTGATGGGCCAGGAATTGTGGAATTTGTTCAGCACTTCTACACCTCACCAAAATGGCTGTTTGTTTTCCCAAATAATGATGCTTTTTCTGCTCTGTCAGCCTTTGCCTGCCTTCTAAGATTCATTCCTCATGAACACGTGGCCCTTTCCTCTGGAAGAGCGCTCTGGCCAAGGGCGATTTGGGAGGGGGATTTTTGGTTCTGCGTGCTAGCAAAGACCTGCTGTGGCGTGAGCAGCCTGTTCCTCCGTGTTTCATGACCCCTGGAATGGGCCTTGCCCACGTCTTGGAGTGATTTTAACCAGAGGAGTACAGTGAGTGGCGTGACCACCCCTTCTTCTCCTTGGATGTGTCTCTGGCTTTATTTGGCCAGAGCCAGTGATGAGTTAGGGGGTGCTTTCCTTGTCTGCCACTGACCATGTCACTGCCGTCTCTGAAACTCCTCCTGGGCTTCCCCTTGATATTGCTGCAGGTTGAATCTTCTTGCATTTGAGTCTCTTTACTATCTTCCTCTTCCCTTTTCTTCACAGAATCTGCTTTTCTTGGCTACATCTGCTCTTATGCCAGGTTCCTACCTGGACAAATACCTCCCTGTTTTTTCTGCTGAAGTATAGAGTGTCTCATCTGAGTTGGTCATGTTGTTTAAATAGTTAGAAGAAGTCTGATGTGTTCTCCTCTTTCAGCTTCCTCATTTAGGTTCATCTGCAAAATTAATAATGGCTCGGTTAAGGGCAGATTCTGATGCTTGATTACTAATTTTAAGTAATCATAGGAAAATTTCTGAGCACAATGCTGTCTGTTCTCTGTTTCTCACACGTGCAATACTGTGCACATGCACTCAGATAGAGAAGCAGGCATAAATTCAAGCCTTCTGTGTACCTATGTGATGATTGTATCTCTCTGCCTCTTGTACTCCTTTTTTGTAATCTGATTTTTGAGCTCTCCAGGTAAGGATCACTTCTGTTTATATTGTTTACAATGCCTGGTGCTCAACAGCCATAATGCTAGTTGTGCTGGGAGGTGGGTCCGCGGTCCTGATGTTAAATTAGGAGACGAGCTCAGAGGCTTTTGCTAGAGGCCAGCTGGAGAGGTGCGAGTCTGATTTTGCTCCTTTTTTGCCTTTTGCCTGTTGCAGACACTGCTTTGTCCCTGTTGAAACACACTTTTTGTTCTTAGAGTAGAAAGCAGCTCTTGCTCAGGTGCCAGGTCTAATTTGATCGAAGCCAGGCCTGGTTGGCTGCACTTAGGCCTGCTGAGCCAGCTCTGTTGCTGGATAGCACATGTAGCAATTAGTGGTCAGGCTAGGGAGTGGGGAAAGCAGCCCCAAACTGCAGGATGGCGAGCGGGAGCTGCTCGAGCACTAGATATGTCCCTTTCCCTCTTGTCCCAGAAACCTGCACATATGCATACATCCTTCTGCTTAATGATCTCCTGGAGATGGTCAGGCGTTGTGTAATGAATGAGCACATAAAACTTCCTAATGCAGGATGGAATATAGCTTTCTATTTTGCTCTGTGTTTTTCCTGGGGCTTCAGTGAAAAAATATGTGAATATAAAGTGAATATAAAGTCCTGCCTTTTTTTACACAAGCAGTTTCAGTTTGCAAATTGTAGCAGAGTGTGTAGGTTCGGGAAAACCTAATTAGATTTGGGTGTAAGTTATGGGAAGAAATCAAAAATCTGGATGCAGTTCTAAACCATCTTATGCTCCTCAACACTTTAGAGCCCTCTTGAATTTTAAATGGCTATTCCTGGGCGTATGGGCGCTGTGAATAAGTTCTATTTCTTTTTTTGTGCAGGAATTTGGGAAGTCTGTTTTCATTTGATATGAGACTATTTCAACTCTTACCTCTGAAGATCTTCAGAATATTCTCTTACAGACATGTACATGGAAATTGAAAACGAGGATAAAAATTAGTACTATTTTCTCCAGCCTTGCATATAAGTTAAATTTGCAAGTGTGATTTTGCTTGGTGTCTTTCTGGGTGTGGGGTATGCAGCAATGTGAGGACCTCCCACCAGATGTGGGTTTGCTCTTGTGCACGACACAGTAGTTCATTGGCCTTGGCCTCCGTGAGCTGCCTTCTCGAAGCCTAGTGCAACCAGTGCTAGATGAACGTAGGAAAAGGATGTGAGAGGATTTCTTCCTTGTTTTTTTCTTGTCTCTGTTCTTCAGAAAAGTAATGGGATGGAGAGCTGGCAGTTTTAGACTTCATGGTGAAACTAAATAATGTTTTTGAAGGATTTAGAAGTGCCTTGAGATGAGATGAGAACTATCTATTTCTTGCACAGCTTCCCTCCTCCTTGATTTCGTTGCTTAATCAATGGGCAGTATGAATAATCAAAGCTTTGTCCTTGATTATCCCTTCCAGTTCGCCTTTAATCAAGATACATGGAAACCCAGGAGAGCGTCGCCTCTCTGTTGCTTTGTGCATCTTTGTGCATCTTCATATTAATCATTCTATAGTATTTCAGCTTCCCAGTGTTTGATTTTTCTCTTTTGGCTTTCATTGGTCCTATTTTTCTCCCCTCCCGTGACATGTTCTGTGTACGTGAGGGGCCCTAGGCTGCCAGTCTCTTTACTGCTTGTTAGTCTGGGGTAAGATGTGTAGCTCAGCAGCCTAGAGGAGCAGCTTTTACTTATGCCAGTAGTTCTACTAGTGGCTGTGCGGCTGCAGGTGCGGGCTCTGAACTGCCTCTTCCATCAGAGCTACGGAGGGCCAAGCTCTGTGAAGGTACTGGCTGGAGTCCGTTTCACCCGGCTACCTAAAGATGAAGACGGCTGCTTAAGTGGTGCCGGGTTGCCGAGTTCCCCAGCACTTTGAGTCAGCGGTGGGAGGAAGATCAGGAGAGCTACGTGGAATGTGTCCCTTGGCAGGGAGGCTTCTCGGGGGCTCTGCTTCTCCAGCCTCCTTGGGCACACTCAGACCCTGCTGCGGTACCAGCCTGTGCTAGGGCTGCTGGTACCGTCTAGCTGGTGCTTCGTGCGCCCCTCTCCAGCCACAGCTTGGTCTCTGTGGAGGAGGTGTGTGCTGGGTCTGCCTATATGAAGAAATGAGCTGCTGTGATTCTGACCATGAGAGGGGAAAAAGAGCAAGTCTGAAAAAACACAGTGGAATAGGACAAATTGTCTCTTTTTCCAATCCCCCCTCCTCCCTTTAAAAATCCAGTTTTCGTTTATTCTTTCCTTTTATCTTCAGCCTTTTCCCAACTGCCACTGTGTAATTGCATCTTTTGGGAGTGAAGAGTCTGCAACTACAGCAGGTTTTTGAAGTTGGAGGTGTCGAGTAATAATGTATACAGCAGCACAGTCTCTCTGTAGCTTGTGACCTGCTGTTGTTATAATGACTGTCTGGGACCCCATGTGCCTGGGGCAAAGTGCATCCTTTGAGTTATGCTCTCCAAAGCCACTTGTGGTACATTCTTACGAGAATGTACGGGGGGGGGGGCGGAAAACGAACTTGCCTGCAAGGTAATTGGGGAATTTATAATGGGCCCGATACAAGCAAATAACCCTTGTGTGCCTAATCAGCAGAGAGACGGCGACCTTCCTGCTTCAAAGAAGAAACGCCAGGCAGGGGAGAAGATTATGTACACTTTGGTCTCTGTGCCACATGGAAATGACATTGCATCTCTCTTTGAACTGGATGCCACCACTCTTCAGAGAGCTGATTGCCTCGTTCCAAGGTAAAGGGAAAAAAAAAAAAAGTGCTGCATTGACAAGGTTTCTTCTTAGCATTAGGCTGGTGAGTAAAGCACTAGAAATCAAACCTGAGCAGGTATTATCCTTCAGTTAAAGTTTGGGGAGTGTTCATGGGTGAACAAGGGATGTATAAAACATGATCCTGCCACGGTGACTGGGTAAATAATTATAAGGATAAAGCAAGTGACACGTTAGTCTGCAAAGAGAAAAATAATGGGCTAAACGTTGCACAGATGAAAGTGAGGACAGGACTGAGCCCAGTGCACTGTTTGAAAAAACTGTACTGCAAGTAGATTTGAGAGAATTGTTCCCAACAAAATAATGTGTATGGTGAATTGTGCTTCTGTTTCTCTGACAGATCACAATACCACTGAATACATGTTATTCAAATTAATTCAGCAAGTGGCTTCTGGAATCTGTTCTGTGTTTTAATTGTGAATATTTGGAGTTTTAACTGTGTTACTTTGCTAGGATTGGCTGGGTAAGTCAGGAGGGGTTGGTTGTGACCAAATGGGCAGGTAGACACGTGGGTTCTGTTTGTCATGATGTGGGTTTTAAAGTCGAACACCTGTAAATACTGATGCATTCGGCTTTGAAGTGTGTTTGCTGTGTTAAATGTTGCCAGATAATTTGCTTACTTGAAAAGTCACAGGCCGTCAACATGAAAAGATGAGCATGAGTGAAGGCCACAGTGAATATATTCGAAAGTCAGAATTCAGAGAAAAACTTCTAATTGATTTTTCAGCTCTGCTTCTTGATAATACCACAAATTCTCTAATGAAAACAGTTTAGAAAAATCTAGTGCCCACTCTTTTGTTCACTTGAGTTCCAGTTGAGAACTGATACTGTAAATACTTGCTCGCTGGAGCTAGGGTTTTTAGGCCATAATAGTGAAGCTGTGCATCCCCGATCACTTTTACTGTCTTTTGGGCTGTGAAGAGGTTCATTACTCAGCAGAAAAAAATATTAAGAAAATGATTGTTTTTATTCATAAAATGTTTCTATTTGGATGGGATTTTATACCACGTTCCTCCCTATTTTTTTTTCTTTAAAGAAGACTTGTAGGATTATCTAAATGCTTAAAAATGCATTCTGCTTAATCCCAAGATACTGTTTGCTCTCAATGCAGCTCTGTGAGAAGGGGGACAATAGGAGGAACTGTGGCAGTACCTTCTAGTGCCCCCTCACCCTTTTCTTACGAGTGGCTGGTGTGACTTGTACTCTCAAGTCTCATGATGCTGTCATGGATTGGGCAGCATCCTACCTTGTCCAGTTTAGCTTGGGACTGCCTCCATCTAACCTATTGATTGCTTTGTTTTCCTTTAGGAATTCATATGTCCGACTGAGGCATTTATGCACTAATACTTGGGTCACTAGTACTAGTATTCCAATAGATACTGATGAAGAGAGGCCTGTGATGTTGAAGGTAACCACTAATTTCTTGGGGTTGCAATCCCACACTCATTCCTAAAGTTATCTGCTGGTGATCTCACTTCTTACCTATAAAAGATAATTAGGGAAAAGTTGAGAGATTTGCTTATCCATACCAAACCATTGCAGATTGGGACATGCCAAACCAAGGAAGACAAAGAAGCTTTTGCCATCGTATCTGTTCCTCTGTCGGAGGTCAGAGACTTGGACTTTGCCAACGACGCCAACAAGGTTTTAGCATCCACTGTTAAAAAGCTGGAAAACGGAACAATAACACAAAATGAAAGGAGGTTAGTGAATTTTATTTCTCCCCTCCAATTAATGGTGCCTAGCAGGGCATCACAGTGCTGGACAAGTTAGTAACATCGATGTGGGTGTAGAAACAACTGACAGAGGATGTGCTGATGTGTAGAGTGCTAACCTGGGACTTGGTTTGTTCCATCTCTTCCAGAGCTGCTTTCCTGCACTGTGGTCTTGTTTCCTGCCTGCAAAATGGGGGTAAACAACATTTCCCTAACTCCCTGGCCACATAAGTAAATAGGCAGATCCCTGGGCAAAGGCAAAATGCTTGTCTTAAATTCCTATTACACACTGCTTCTGGGCTATAGCAACTGGGTCTTGAATCTCATATACAAGATAGTATAGTATCGTATATAATATCATATACAATCTCATATAGAATGGGCAGCATACAGGACTCTTGATGTGCGTAAAATTCAGTGTAATATGCCTTCATGCTTCCAGCGCAGCAGAAGGAGGTCTTAAAGTGCCTGAGCAACTGCCACAATAGTTCCCTTGCTTGCTTGCTTCCATTTTAACTTGCTTTCCTTTTCTATTTTACATCGTTCTGTTGTTGTTAATGTTTGCCCTTCATATTTATCCATGCTTCAACTGTAGACCTATTAGAAGGTCTCTTCTTCACACCCGCCTCTGAATTAAGAGATTTTCTTGTACGCTGTAGCCAAATATATCAAATTGTCGGTGATGTAGTCTGCTATTTATTTTCAGCTGTCTGTGGTAAAACTGAATATTAGAGAGCATCTCTGGCAGTGTTAATTTGTAACCTCCATTCTACTATGTGTCATGCACAACTTTCTACTGAAAATGTTGGGTTTTTTAGATGCTAAAACTGAACTTCTGCTCTCTGTTGAGTCCGCAGCCTTTTGCCAGTAGTAATTAGAACAGATGCTTCAGTATCAGGTGGAGGATTTATCCTAACAGGCAGATCTAGATGGCCTGGATACCGGCACTCAGCCTTGGAGAGCTGAAGGGCCATTTTGTTCCTGAGTGGAAGCAGAGGGATACGGCACAACAAAGGTGTGACATCCCTTTATTGGCCTTGCACCACTGTATCACTGCCATCCAACAATTCCTCATCTTGATAAATTGGTACCACTGTGTGCAAAATTCAGTGCGATTTCAGGATCACGGCATTCTTTGGCTGTTTTATGATTTCCTTGGAAGCAGTCACTCTTGCCATTTCTGTGGGTCTTACCACCTTCTGCTGAGCTAAGCTCCCACAGTTGGTGCCTGGTTACTCCACCCTACATGTGCCCTTGCTGCCTTTTCCTGCTGGGGAGGCTCCCTCGTGCTGCGGCCCTTGCTATTTTGCACCAGTGAGCTGAGGTTTTTAAAGCTAAAGCAGAAGACGGTGATGCCTCGTAGTATTTTCTTCCTGCATCTTCTGAAGGCAGTAGGAAAGGAATGACTCCTGCCTCTGTCTGTTTTAGCACTCGCTTCTACCAAGTCCCTTTTCCTCTAGCAAAGAGTGAATAAAATATATATGGTCTTTTTCAAGTCCTTCTTCAACAGTTTCTAGGGTTAGTAGGGAAATAGTGTAGCAGCAGGATGCTGTTAGTCTTCTAGTGAGCGTGTCATCTTGTTTTGTGGGCCCATGTTATTAATTTACCAATAAAAATTGGTGTTAGGCTGCCTAAGAGTGTGTTTCTAGTGCTGCTGGGCCTCGAGGCCAGCTGGTATAGATTTCGGATTTCTGAATACTCCACATCAATTCAGCGTGCTGCATTTTTCTCCCTTTTCCCTGTGGTTGTCGTTTAATTCCTTGGTAAACATCCCTGTGATGGATTTAAGCCTCTGCTGATCCAAGGCCTTGAATCCTTAAGTACATGTCAAACTTAGCTTCACCATGATTGAAATTCTGTTGTGCTAGATAGAGCTTGTTCTAAAATGCGATTTTCTTCTTAATGAATCCTAGCAAGTGTTGAATGGCTGTATATAATAATGATTTGTCTATTCATTCTAGGTTTGTAACCAAGTTACTAGAAGATCTCATTTTCTTTGTTGCTGATGTGGCTAATAATGGGCAGGAAGTTTTGGATGTGGTCATTACCAAGCCAAACCGGGAACGACAAAAATTAATGAGGGAACAAAATATACTGGCCCAGGTATGTCCTAATGTCCTAATACTTGCCTGATTTGCAAATACGTTGTAGAAGAGAATGATTTGGTTATATGCTACTTTTAGCTAACTTGGACAGGGCATATTGTGTGTATTTTTGATTGGATTGGTGTGTGAATGAGATGGAAACACAAGTGACTGAGGTCTCTCTGTTAGTTCTGTGTGATTCTGCTGAGTCGTAACACTATATTAGATATCACATCATTGGCCAAATTGTTCGTATGAGGGTCAGGTTGTAGTCAGAATTAACATTCCCTTGAAATAGCTTAGTGAAAGGACACAACTGGTATTGTCCTTCTTTTTTTTTTTTTGTCCTTAATTTAGCCAAGGGTAAGGTACTTGACACAAAATGTTTTTAGTTGATAATAATGGTCAAAAGGCAAAAATGTCGATCAAGTTGGTGGGGAAATGTGAAATTAAACATTTAAAGGTATAATGTTTGAGACTATCAGTGTCTCCCAACTTCTGCTTTGTCTTATGTAGATAATAAGTGCAGTGATTTTGCTCAATAGGAGTCTTGTGCTGATCCAGTCAAAGGACACTACCATTGACAGTTTTAAGTTAAGCAAAAAAACTTGGTTTTATTTTCATTCTCAGTGGTTTTAATTTTGAACAGATATTTGGGATCCTCAAAGCTCCTTTTAAGGACAAAGGTGAAGGCTCAATGCTGAGACTCGAAGATCTGGGTGATCAGCGGTACGCTCCATACAAATATATGTTGCGGTTATGTTACCGAGTTCTCAGGCATTCCCAGCAAGACTATAGGAAGAACCAGGTCAGTGGCACTGAAAACTCTTTAATATCCAATTTCTGTGTTTGATCTTGCACTCTGCCCTTGCAAGCAGAACTCTGTGATGAGCCTATATTAAGAGATGGTGAAAGGACTAAGCTCTTTGCAGTTTAGTGGTAAGCAGCAAATCAGGCCCTAATACTTCCTTCTGCTGTATTAGTAAAGTTAGGCTCTTGGACTCTGGATTATTAACTGGAAAGGTAGCAAAACTCTCTGTTTCCATTGCTTCAACATTTGTGGGGTCATGGCAGCCAATCAAAGCAGAGTTATTCTATCAGGTGGCCTAATTTCCCACTCCTAGAGTCTTCTTGTGAACAAGGGATATTTCAGAACATGATGTTGAATGCTTTGCAGGTTGCGGCGGTGGGGAGAAACTTTTTAAGACTAAAGGGGCTAAAGATTAAAGAAAAGAAAAGGAAATGTAATGTATGGCTTCTCTGATTTTCTTCTAATGCTTCACAAGAATATTTTTGTCTTGGAGGGGAAGAGGAAAGATGAAAGGCAGCAAAGAATGTGCCTTAGATGTTATAAGAAACTCTCTTTTTTTTCCTTTAAATAAAATGTTTTCTATTTCCTTTTAATTCTATATGTATTTTTGTGGGTTCATTTCTTTGCTTTTTGAAAGAATAAGAAGAATTAGTCATCCCTTAACACTGAATCGTTTTCTTGAGGTGTGTAATTCAGGTATTCAGATACTTTTCTTCTGTTTGGGAAAATTCGTCGAGAAGAGTTTTGAGAGTTATTTTGATTGTTAATTGAGTGGGATAAGGCTGATTCTAGAAGAAAAGATTGAACAAGTGGTCATGGTGATTTTCATTCTTTCAGGAATATATCGCAAAGAACTTCTGCGTCATGCAGTCCCAGATTGGTTATGATATTCTGGCAGAAGACACCATCACAGCTTTGTTGCACAACAACAGAAAACTGCTAGAGAAACACATCACAGCTAAAGAAATAGAGACGTTTGTTAATTTACTCAGGAGAAATCGAGAGCCAAGGTTTGAAGTGGTCCACATAACATTCTTCTTCTCTATTGACAGGCTTTTATATCAATAGCAGCTGTGAATCTGTTTGCTCTTCATTGTTTCGTTGTCTCTTTCTCCTAGCTTTTTGTGTAAGACCTGGATACAAAAAAATCTGTGCACAGTCTCATGCTAAAAAAGTCAGAAATACCAGCAGTACTTTGGATTTGACCCTATCTGCATTTCAGAATTAGAGCGAGCTGATAAGCAAAGTTTACAGTTTACGTGACACTTTTGAAAATGTGATTTTAGTTCAAAACAGAGGGAAACAAATAGAAATTTTGATTTCTCATAACCTTGCATCTGCTCTGTGAAACTGCCATTCCTGTTTGTTTCCCTTCTAATAAGGTAGTTGAAGAGGACACAGATATCAATTTTACTGCGTTTTCACTGATGTCGGTTTTCCTGTAGATACTCCTTGCAGACCAGACCTGCAAGAGGCCTGGGACAACAAAGACCCCAATGCACATGGGTTTGTGGACCAGATTTTGTTCCAAATGAAACATCTGGCCTTCAACTCTGCTCTGTTCATTGTTTTTGCGCAGCTTTAAGTCAGAATACAAAGTAAATGGATTTTTTTTTTGAATGAAAAAGCTATTTATTTTTTTCATTAGATTTTCAATTGTAAATGGACCAAAGTAATGTAAATAAAAGAAATGAAGGTACTAGCTGCCAAATGATATCCTCAGTAATTGTGGATAGCAGTGTTCTGTTAGTTATTTATTGCATTGCTCAGGGCCCGGGTGCTGCATTGCTTCAGTTATTCTCCATGTGGCTGCAGCCATTCTGCCTCAGGCTGTAATCTCACTGCTCTCCTATGCTAAGCAGGATTGGGCTTGGTCAGTACTGGTAGGGGAAAATGCAGGAGCAGCTCCTGTGTCAGTGCTGAAGGGACCTTTTTATTAACAATCATCTCATGTAACTTTTCTGTCGCAGGGGATGTCTCGGTATTGTTGCATAATTCAACTGTATTAAAATATGCATTCAGTGCCCTAAGGTGTAAGTGGGAGAGCAATTAATGAAATACAGCTTGTCAAGATGGCGCAGTCTTAACAGTCAAGGTCTCGTCTTTTGACAATTATTTGCATGAAGTCTTGTAAACTTTTGCAGCATTGCTTGTGTGAGTAAGGATTGTGGAAGTATGCACTAAAACACATAACAAAAAAAGATTTAAGAGTTTGCTAAGAAGAAGAGTTTTTTTCTTTTTAAGAGTTTTTTATTTTCCAGTGCGAGAAAGGCTGCAGTATGAGCTGCTGTTAGCACACATGCGGGGATCCAGGGGAGAAGCAGATATTTTATGAATGTCCCAACTAAGAGGAAAGCCTCATTCTGAAACTTGTTAAATGACAGAAGACATGAGACATAAATTCATAGGAAGCAGCTTTTCAAGGAAAGCTTTTGTTAGTTTGGCTTTGCATGGAATTACTTCTTTGTATACAGAGGGTCCTCTTTCAGATTCTGTCACATTTCTTTTTTATTTTTTCACTTTTGCCTGTGCAGATTCTTGGATTATCTGTCAGACCTGTGTGTATCTAACACCACAGCAATACCAGTAACTCAGGAACTCATCTGCAAGTTTATGCTGAGCCCAGGAAATGCTGACATTCTCATTCAAACCAAGTGAGTATCCAGTGTCTGAACACACCATTTTGTTATTTACTCCGTTCGTTACTTCTGCAGAGCTTTGTGAGCAGCTCCACTGTGAGGTCTTTGTGCTTGCAGACTGGTGTCGGCGCAGATGGACAATCCCTTGGATTGCCCAGTCATCGCAGACGACATCGATGATGAAGAAGTGTGGCTGTACTGGATTGACAGCAACAAAGAACCTCATGGGAAAGCCATCAGGCATCTGGCTCAGGAGGCCAAAGAAGGCACAAAAGCTGATTTAGAAGTTCTTACCTACTACAGGTAAAATGTCTTTTTTTTTTTTTCAAATGGAAGAAAATATAAACTTTCCAAGCAGCCAGCTGCTCTTCTTATTTATTTGCCATTATCATAAAAGCAAGTTAGGTCTTGCCAGAAACCATGTTTAAAAGATTTTTTTTCAAGTCCTTCCCTTAGGAAGGATTGCAATCTCTGCTATCTATTCCAGGCAAGTCTTGAGTTTTGCTTGTGATGCCTTTTTTTGTGTCTCTCTGCTGTGATTTGGCCTCCTAGGTTTTCTGCATGGGGCTGTATTTTTAAGTCATGCTACTCTTGAAATCATGGCATACTCTGCAGAAGGAAGTGTATTGAGCATCCCAGGGTTTAGAGAGGAGGGGGGAGGAAGGGATCATGGAACTGAATTTTAGATTGGTTGGAAGCAAATAGTGCAAAATGCTGCAGCCTTCCCCTGCCTTCTCTGTGGTGGCTTTTTTGAACTTCAGATAGAGCTCAGTCCTCATAGGAGCCAAACATCTGCATAGTAGGTTAGTCCCTTTGTTAGCAAAGTCACTCTTGTCGTATTTCAATACCTACATCAGAAGGACTGAGATCAGATTTGCAAAGGGTGATTTGGAGGTATATTGTTTGATGGCATTTCAAAAAATCGGTAGGAAATATGTGTTGTTTTTCTTTAAGGTATCAGTTGAACCTCTTCGCAAGAATGTGCCTGGACCGCCAATATCTGGCCATCAACCAGATTTCTGCACAGCTGTCAGTAGACTTGATCTTACGATGCATGTCGGATGAAAGCCTCCCTTTCGACCTCCGCGCTTCTTTCTGCCGGCTGATGCTGCACATGCATGTGGACAGAGATCCTCAGGAGTCTGTGGTGCCTGTCAGATATGCCAGGCTGTGGACTGAAATTCCCACTAAGATCACCATCCACGAGTGAGTTTAGCGGTACTAAACAAAGCATGTGAAAAGAGGATAAATTGGTTGTATGTGTCTAATGCCAACAAATTCATATGTGAGAGGGTATTGTGTTGCAGAACACAGGCTGTTATTGTTAATGTTATTGTTAATCTTAGAAACTTCCATGGGTAGCTTTAAAAGGAAATATTTCAGTTTTATTTCTCACTGTGTTGTTATAGAGGACGAACCAGGGGGTGGGGTATGGAATGGTCTTTACCAAGAAAAGTCAAACCCAAAATAGTCATGTTGTGTCTAACATTACATGTTTGCTAGGTCAGAACTCAGCTTTACACTTCAAGCTCAATGGAAAGCTACTGTTGGCAGCCCAGAATTTGCAGTTAGGTGCAGCTATTGTCCCAAGAACAGTTCACAGCGTCTTTGGTGTCTGTCCAGCGAAGTACTTAGGCGTGTGCTAAACTGAAGTACGGCTGAAAGGCCCATTGACTTCCATGGAAACCCTCTCTGGCTTTACTGGTTTGGTGGAGCCAGGCCACTGCGCTAGACCCTTTGGCTGAGAAGACAGGGAAATGTAACCATGCAGCACAGGATTCTCCTCGTGTGATCTGCGTGAGGGACTGCTGTCAGTAGCAGGGCAAATCAGTCCCAGCTGGTGGTGCAAGGAGAGGGGGCTGATTGTCCCATGCTCCTTCCCTTGGGATAATCCTGTGGAGACAGTAATCTCTGGCTGGTGGATAGTGAGGATAACTGAGACTGGTGACCAGCTAAATTGCCACAGCAAGAATCAAGAGGGTTATCTGCCACAACCACAGTGTTTTCCTTCCTCTGTTATTATCACTCACTGCATCCCAGTACTACCCAAGGGAAGGTTTGTGCATCCTTTCTCTGTCATCTTTGCATTTCTTTTCAGATTTAGTTGCCCTGTATCTCTTCTCCTTAAAGAACCAGCAGTAATTTTAAGGAACTCTGATTGACTTGATGGTTTTCTCTGTGACAGCTCATCCTGAAATTAGAGGTGTTTAACTTTGTGTGCTTTGTGTCTTGCTTTGTAGGTATGATTCTTTCACGGATTCTTCGAGAAATGAAATGAAGAGGAAATTTGCACTAACTATGGAATTTGTAGAAGAGTACTTGAAAGAAGTTGTAAACCAGCCCTTTCCTTTCGGAGACAAAGAGAAAAATAAGCTTACATTTGAGGTACTCCTTAGCTGTCTGTGTCCTAACTTCTGTTATTACAGAAAATAAAGTTGCTGCCAAACAGTTATACTGTGTGTTCCTCCTCCTGAGATGGTTGCATTTCAGTGTCAGGAGAAGGGACGTGTGTACAGGTGAATGGCCATGTGCTCTTTTTCTCTTCATTAATGAATTAGTGCGTGGCTTTTTTTCAGTGTAAGAAAGTGCTCTTCTCTATATAAAATATGACACTGACAGAATTATTCTGTATAACCTAAACCTGTCTTTTAGCTGTTGTTTGCAATTCCTGCCAGAAACGTTAGAGAGGCCTAAATCTTCCAGGTTTGAGTAAAATTTAATAAAAGGCTCCTTAGAGCTTCTGGAGTTTCTTTCTCTATCCTGCTTCAGGATCTTTGTCATTCCTGCCTCTGGTCACCTGGAATTGCCTCCATTCAGCTTACCTGACCCTATTCCCTTACTGTTCTTTTAAATTCCATCTCCTCTGCAGTTGCCGACTCTTTGAACAATATCCTGGAGTCTTTCTTCCCCATCTTATTTATTTTCCAAGATTTATTTTCTCAGATGCAATTGTATCCCTTCAACCTTGCTGAAACCTCATGTTGTTTTTGCTTTCTGCTTTAATTTGACTGAGCAATTGTTTTGTCTAAGTCTGAAAAACATTTGATGTCACTGGCTGTGATCCAAAGCCCATTTAAATCAGTGGAAGGACTTGTAGTGAATTGAATGCCATCCAGATCTGAATCTGTGAAAGCTGCCATCTGAAATGCAACCATACTGATGTATACTGCACAGCTGAATACCACAAAGATTGATGGTGTTTTCATTTTCTTTTTTTTTTATAGGTGGTGCATCTGGCTCGAAATCTCATATACTTTGGCTTTTATAGCTTTAGTGAGCTTCTCAGACTGACCCGCACACTGCTGGCGATTCTAGACATAGTTCAAGTTCCTATGTCGTCCTACTTTGAGAGGCTGAGCAAGTTTCAGGATGGAGGTGAGAAAAGCAGCAAAGGAGTTTATTGCATTGTACAGTTACTAATGTCGTTGATCTTTTGTACTGTGACTTAAAACTGGGTTGAAAAGTGAGCTCACCACTTCACCAGGTGCTGAAGCTCAACAGTTCAGTTTTCCTGTGCCTATAGAAGAGAGCTGTGGCCATCATGTGAGCTGGGTCACTGGCTGATGGCAAATTCCACCTCAGTGTATGGGTGGTGGGAGTATTGCTATGCTGTCAGCTAGTCCACATCACAGAAAAGCATGAATCAGGAGCTGTGTGGTTTGAAACAAAGTTACTTTCAATTTTCTTTGGTATTTCTGTGTAAATTCCATTTTCATTTCGTTTTCATGAGTCTTCCTGATCTTCCTTTTGCTCAGTCACTCCTGCAGCCCCACAGAGCTCCTGTATGTCCTGCATGAATGTGTTGTCCTTCACAGCTTGTCTTCCTATTTGATGTTCACATTCTCTGGAGAAGTAGAGACTGTCATTGCCTGCTCTGTCGTCTCTGATCCGAGACATCCTGCACTTGGTTCGCTTAATGTTTCCTCCATCTCTATCACTATGGTTTACTGAAATCCCCTCCAAGTCTTTCCTGCAGTGCTGTGCACACTAGCAGTGCTGTAGCTCTCTGCAGCCTCTCCACGGCACTAGACAAGGACTATACGTTCAGATGCCCTGAATTTTGTTTTCCTTTTTTCCCCTGAAATACTGTGTTGCAGACTCTCTTCTAAAACTTTTCTAGATCATTTGGATTCTGGATGAAGTCTTAGCAAAGCTGGATGAGCATTTTTCATATGTATTCCTCCTGTTTTTTTCCCTTTCACTAAAAACGGCACTAAGCAAAGTTGTTGAGTTTTTTGTTTGTTTGTTTCTTTGATTAGCCTCATCCTTTATACAGATCCGTAGCATTTTTGTTCCAACTATGTTGGCCATAGTTGTTTCCGTGGACACTCATCCTGTAAACACTTTGGTTGAAATGTGTCCTGAGTGCACAAGTTACCTGGGTCTGTGCAGGGTGGGTCCCAGTTCTGGTGGAGGTTTGACAGTTCACTGATGTTCTTTTGGATATGACCTGTTTTCTTTTCCCCCTTTTCCGGCCGCCTATATGTCTGGCTACTGTGCCCAGACAGGTCACCATTCCTACTTCCTTCTCTGGAGGTACATGCATACCTGCCCTTGGACAGCATTAGGCTGTGCAGATGCGTGTATTGAAAGGAGGTGTATTTCAGAAGTATTTTTTTTTCTACCATTTGTTCAATATTCTTGAGCAACTGGCTCACAGAATCTTATTTTTGATGCATGTATCAGCATATCGGTCAAGCAGGAGAGTACTTTCCAATAAAAACAGAGAAACAATCAGCATTACCTTTAGCAGCAGATTAAGATGAGAAAAGGAGTTGAAGAAGAAAACACGAGGTATTGTAGTGGCTGACATTCTGGAGACTGCTGCTGTAGCTACTGTTTGTGACTACTGCATAGCTTGGCCTCATGTGGAAGTCTGCAGGAGGGGCACAAATCAGATCATGGGAAGAGGATTTTGGCTGGTATAAGTTGTGGCAGTTCTATGAACTGTGAGAGCTCAAGCCAGCTGAGTATTTGGCTCCATTATGTTTGGTTTTGTTTTTCCCTCCCTTCTGGCTCTTTTTTAAGGTACATGCGTAACACACATTTAAAACATATGAGCGTTTTCAGTCTTCGTTGTGTTTGCAAGCAGAACTTGAATTTGAGTTTGTATTTTTGAAACCTGGAATCATAAAGTCACCAACTTGACTCTTGTGCAAGATGGACACTTGTCTCAAGTGTTGTGGTGCTATATCTTAAGAAGTCCTACCTAGATGCTGCTGAGATGGACCACAGGAGCTGTGGGATAACTCTGGTGTAGGCACAAAGACATTCAGATTCATCCACCTTGTTCCTGGCCCCTCGTGAGGAACTCTTAAGATTTCTATTCATTGTTATCTGCTATTCATCTTGCTGGAAGACACTAATGACTAACTGAACAACATGAGCATGTTGTTCAGTGATACTCTTGTAGTTTTTGACCTTCTGGGGGAAGCTGAGAAACCATGGGTCTGATTCTGCACTGCTTTGGATCTTTTAGCTTAACCCAAATAAGATGGATCCAAAATGCACTAGTGTGCTGTATGGATCTTGAGGAGTGAGTAAGCCAACAGAAATCTTATTTTCAGGAATCTGATCAAGACCTCACCTTACTTTGAGAGCCAATATAGTTCACCAGGCTTAGGCTGTAGGTTTGATTTGTGTTTTTCAGGTCTTAGGTACTTTCTTCAAAGTTTCCCCTTTCCTTTTTACACAGATATCCTGTCTGTAATAAAACTGTGTAGTTGAGAGTAGGACTGGTTAGTCCAAAGCTTGTGATATTCCTTTTGGTATTACTTTGAACAGAGAATGTTACAGGTAAGGGTCCTTCCAACACACCTTTGCTGTAGGGCTGTGCAGGTTTGCACAGCTGCTCTCCTAATTTTATAACTCTCTGAGTTATAAAATTCAATCACACATTGATCTTAATCCCCAACTCCCCCTCCCTAAAAGTTTGGATTAATGAATATTTCTTACATAATTGTGAGATAATATCTCTTTATTTTGTGTGTATGCTATGTATATGTGGAAGTCAGTCATTAGTTTTGTAGATTATCAAAAGTTTTGTTTAATCCATCTAGTTAGTATTCACAAATGTCTAGGCATCAGCATTAAAGCAGTAAGAACATGTATTTTATACTTAAAGCTTTGGGCTTTGGAGTGTATCTCTAAAATCCAGTTTTGACAAACATTAGAAAGCCAGCCATGACACCCGGGACTGATGATTTAACAGTCTAAATAAATGTGTTTAAATTTAATCAAACATCAGGGGTCTGATCCTGTGACTCTAATGTAGCAAACTGCTACAGTACTAGCTTGGGCTTCTGTATATTTTAATTTTAATCACCATCTTACTGTAAACTTACATCGCTTAGTATTAAATGGATGCTTAACAGCTGTATTTTGACAATTCAGAAATGCAGTTATTTGCAGGTTTTAGGACAAGTGATATGACCAAATGGAAAAATCATGTAACTCCTGATCTGCAGCTCTTAAGTAGATCTAAGGTGACAACTCTATAGAAATGAAAATTTCTGAGTAAAATGTATTTAATTTTGCATCATAGCTCTTAGATTTTAATCTTGTGAAAACGTACAGGTTTCTGTGGGAGACTTGGTGCCATAGGAATTTGGGGGCCAAGAGGGTGTCCTTCATGGGGATACCATTACCTCAATTTTTTCCAGGGCACCAGCAGCTTCCCTGTCTGATGACTGTGAGGGAACTTGTGTGGATCTGGTGAGATCTCATCTTCTCTTTCCTGAGGGCAGGAAGAGTGAATTGCTCTTAGCTGCGAGAAGCCACCTGAGCATCGAAACCGTGAAGTTTATAGCAGTCTGAAGTCGTCTTCCCTGATTAGTATTGATTTATTCCTTAAACAGACCCACTTATTTCAGTCAAGCTACTTGCTAAGTCAGGAAGTATATAGCACAAGTGGTGAACTGCTGAAGCAAATCTGCCTTTAAGATGGGCTGTATAGGAATACAGAATAGAAACTCTGGACTTAGTAGAAGCTGCATGAAGACTTCGTTAACCTTTCCCCCCAAGATGTCCTTTTCCATCCTCCACTTAAATTTTGACTCGCACTGATGGCTGAGTCCTTCATATTGTATGCAAGTTTCTCTGTACTGGTTCTGCAGAGATTCTGAAAAGATCCTTACACTGTTGTTCATTATGCCTTACATTCTTTGGAAAGCTTGATTTTAATGTCCCCATCAGTTACTTTAACAAGAATTAAATCAGTCTGCATACAGTTTTCAGGTGTGACCTTATTTGATGAGGCCAAATCAGAAAAAAAAAAATGATGGAGACACTTGTGGGATTGGATACCAAAAAAGGGGAAAGAGGTGTGTTTTTGAGAAGATTCTTACTGTTGTTAGATTGCATCAAAAAATGAATTGACTTGAAAACATTGCAGCCAACTTCTTTTCCAATCAGAGTATCATAGCTTTGAATCATTTTGGAGGTTATTGGAACGTTTTCCTCTTTTCTTTAAATTCTAAGAAATAAGGGGTTTATAGAATATGCTGCCTTTATCTTAAGATTTTCTGCTAAGGTGAGGACTTCAATGGCTAGTACTGTAATTCTGGCACCTTTCATGAGTGTTATAATCTCTTATGTTTTAGTTAAGAAGTAAAGTCATTGCTTTCCTAATATGTGCACCCTGTTGTATCATTCCAGAGTCAGGAGCCGGTCTGCCTTGTCCAGTGCTGGTTATTTGTTCTCTGTGAATTAAAATGCGTATCTTTCTCTCAGGGCGATCGACGGATCTTTGAGATAACTGATTTTAGTCAAATCATGCAGCTACAGCTCATGTCAGGTCTGAAAGATGAAATGACGTGGTAGTATTAGCAGGCAGGCTACTCATTTGCCATGCAGCTCAGTGCTATTTAGTTAACATTATGTTTGGGAATGATAATAATGGCATGCAAGGAAATAGGTTCTTGAATTTCAGCTGTGTGTGTGTTTTGGGATGCTGTTCACTGTGCTGGGCACTAATTTGAAAAAGCGCTTGATAGGACAGACCTGCTTCTTCATACTAACTCTTTGTCTTTAGTTGGTAGCATATTCTTCCTGAACTAAGAATAAAGGGAGTAAAGGGTAAAGATTTGTCCATAGGTGTCCCAAGATCTTGGAATGCTTCTTCAAGAGGTGTCAGGACTAGCTGGACTGCTATGTTGCGTTGCAGCCTTTGCCTCTTGCTCATAGTGTTCCCAAAGGATTTGACCTTACAGGATTCAGAACAGGGAAGCTCTCCCCAGGCACCTCTCCTTCTTGAGGACTTCAGCCCTGGAATGCCACGATTTCTTTGCAAAGGAGAACTTGCATACCAGTGTGGCAGGGAATCCTGCCTTTTCTATTTCCCCAGTGGTTCCACTGTGACCGAGGAAGACCAGAGTTTGTCCAGGACTATTACAAAGCATGTTACTGTTTCTCAGTGATGCATCTGTCTCTATTAGCTGCCCTTTTGTGTAGTTAACAATTTGAAATATCTTTTGAGGCACCTTGGATTAGCACAGCTGATGAGGCTGTGGCTGCTTGGCAGACTGGAGCAATACTTCATGCCAGCAGTTTACAGAACCATAGGATTATGAGAAAAAAAAAAAAAGTTTAGCTCTTAGGAAAGTTGACTACGTTGATCAGATGTCTGTAGTGAAGCAACTGCCTTTCATTGTGGAATATTATCAGACCAAAGGCGGGGTCAGTGTGATTCACAGTTTAATTTTCTGGCGTGACCTATTTCTCTTTTCTGATTATTCTTTGCCTCATCATTTAGCTTGTGCATTTATGTGATTCAGAGACCTTTGCCCTTCTGGGGATAGATACCTGTTTTGAAGACCTGTCTCAACTAAAATGCTTGATTCCCATGATCTTTTATTCCTCCAAGACAGTGCATTTCTTCCATCCTTTCCTTCTCTAATGTCCATGGTAGAAAAGCTATATTTTTGACAATAGAAACTGCAAAATGTCTGGAAGAGGTGGGCTTTTTGTGGAGCTTCATTAGAGAGTTTGCGTGCAATAATGTGAGGGTAGTCGTGGCCACATTTATTCAGAAGGTGGTGACAAAATAATGTGCATTGTATGTTGTTGCTTTCCAAAATAATTTTGAAATTATTATTATTATTGCTTATCATTAGTTCTGAGAGTTGTATAAAATATTGAAGTGGACTCACCTTCTGCCCTTAATGTCATGTTTTCTCTGAGGCTTACCAGAGGTCAGCTAGTTATTGAGGAGTGAAGAATGGTTTAACGAAGAAATAAAGTGTGGTTCTCATCCTGTTTATGGTACATTCTGGAGTCTTTATGAACACATTCTGTGGGAAACCTGTAAAAATTAATACCTCTTCCACAAAGAGAGCTATAAGGCTTTATGCTCCTGGCAATAATATATAGCTCTAAAGGGCTTGAAATAAAATG